TTTTCCCCTTAGTGCCTGTTTCGTATACATAATTATCTATACAGATCCGGGACGTGATAATGAAAGCAATGATAAAAACTTTGCAGAGGCTGTTCATATAATTTCTATCGCAATGAAAATCTGTTGGGTGACTTCTTTTTTTGAGCGAACGGAGAAAATACTTGGAGAGAGTTTTCTTTTTTGATACAACCTCAAAGACAACTAGGAGAAAATTAAGCCAAGGAGAGCATAGGGGACGTTAACTGCACTATTTTAACAGCATTACAGCAATAACATTGATATAAATGTAAAGAACGTAAAGTGGAAGAAAAGACAACGTGCCACTGACTGACTAAACCAGCAATCTTATCACGCGCCTGATGCTCTACCATTTGACCTGCGGAGTAGATTTTTTTCTTGTCCACTTAGTTGGATATTTATCTCATGCACACCTGGTAATGTTCCTCCACACTGCTCCTAGTCATCACGGCGAGCGCGCAACACACTTTTTTTTGACAGCTGGTGTGATGGAGCCTCGGATAATTGAGCGAGCGGACAGCTGACCAATTAATTAGTCCTCATAGAGCACTGCACGGGCCGGATCTTTCGGCCCTTGCCTTGCCTGACCTGAAAACAGCATGATATCGCCTGCTGGAGCACGGCCCCGTGTTTTGAAATATGGCCTGTAGCAGCCCGGGACTTAAAAGGTTTGAGACCGGCATGGCCCCAGGCCATTTAAGCCAGTTCTGCCTTGAACACAAACGAGGCACTTTCCACTCTTTGCTTATGGTGAAGTTACCTACTGCACACAAGATATTAGCTTGTGAGTTGTTCGGAGCTTGTTTTAGTGTCACGACTTTCACTATTGTGCTGTATACTTTCAGTTAATTATGCCCGTAACACTATCGCTAAATGTTTTCAGGGCATTATAAAATATAACTGCAGTCATAGCTGGCTATCTCACATATGCAGCGTTAACCACACAATCCTATTTTTTTGCATTTCAAAGACCGACTACACCATATACTATGTCCATAAAGGGAGAAATGGCAGCCATTTATAGTTTCAGTGTACATAAGTGGCATACCAGCATTGACTGTTGAGTAAAAGTAGCAAATCTCTCGCAAACGTCAATTATTACGCAATGCAATAAAACGTGCTCTGGACACTTCTGAGGGGAATACACCAGGTTCGGCAGCGTTACATAACCAAAGCTGTCTTGACTCATCGACTGTTTCACACGTACACTACGTTTTCACCCTCAAAAGAAGAAGGTTATTTTACCCAACCTTGTTTTCCGAGTCACTGCCACCACAGTGCCATAGATCTGTCAAAGCGAGCCGCAACCCTTAGCAAGCAAACCACCATCTTCGTTCTTCCCTGAAGGTGCCCAATTTTTCATCATCGTCTGACCACCTTTTATTTCTTAAACTGGGTGTCTTAATAATAAGATCAGACTCAGAGTTTCTGAACAAACTGTCAATTAAATTGTCGAAGCGAACAAGCTGGCGGCTCCTTTAGCTGTCCCTGTCAAACGCGGCGTCCGGAGTGCGGTCCCCGGCATGGTCCGGAAGCCAGAGATTCATTGACATGTGGGGTTTAACATCCCCTATGAGAGACGTCGAAGTGGGGGGCTCCCGAAATTTTGGCCACATGGGGTTCTTTAACCTGCACCGAAATCTGAGCACATGGGCCTACAGCATTTTTGCCTCCATCGAAAATGCAGCCGCTGCAGCCGGGATTTGATCCCGCGGCCTACGGGTGCGCAGTCGAACACCTCAGCCACTAGACGATCGTACTGGGGCGCGGGAGCTGGAGTGTGGGTTGCCTAAGTGCGTGCGAAGCAACCGTTGGTGCGAACAAAGGAGCGAAGTGCGGCTCCCTGTGGCTCGCTGTCTTGGCAGTAGGCTTGCAACTAGCGGCAGTGGGCATGGAGAAAGAGATGTGTGGCAGAAAGGAAAAACCGGCGACTGTGGTTGGGAAGAAAAGGAGGAGGGTAAAGAAAATGCCGCATGTCCGCCAGAGAGGCTTCATGCGTGCAAGCTACGTTAATTTTTCATAGTAGAGTAGGGCCAGTGACAAAGCAGCTGACAATTATGTACCCACTCCTGCTTATTTGTATATAAATAAAATGAAGAAATTTACGCCTGTGCTACTCATCAAGGCAATGTCATCAGCGAATCACAGGTTACTAAGATACTCTTCATTAACTTTTATCCCAAACTCTTCCCAATCTAGGGTCTTCAAAACCTCCGGTGAACACGCGGTGAACAGCATTGGAAAGACCATGTCTCCCTGCCTTACACTCTTCTTTACTGGGATTCTGTCGTTTCTTTTGTGGAGAACTATGGTAGCTGTGAATCCACTGTAGATTTCTTCTAGTATGTTTATGCAGGGTACTTCGATGCCCTGACTTTTTAGTGCCTGCATTTTCTGATGTCTGGACTGAGTCAAACGCCTTCTCTTAATCTATGGAGGCTATGTATAGGTGTTGGGTGTATTCCGCGCATTTATCTATTACCTGATTGATAGTATGAATATAGACAACTGCGCAGCAGCCTGTGCAATATCGTGCTTGGTCTTTTGGCTGATTGAACTATAAGTCCGCGTTAATTTTATTGGATACTATTTTGGTGAATAGTTTGTAGAGAAAGGACAATAAGCTGATCGACCTGTAATTTTCAAGTCCTTGGCGTCTTCTTTCTTGTAGATTAAGATGATGTTGGCGTTCCTCGATGATTCTGGTGCCCTTCCTGTCAAGAGACAAATTGTATATAAGGTGGCAAGTTTTTACAACTCTATTTCTCTGCCATTTTTAGGAGGTCCGTCGTTACCTTATCGTCACCAGTGGCTTTGCCACTTTGCATTCCTTCTAAACCTTTCCTTACTTAGCATGTCGTTACTGGTAGGATATCGGATTCCTCCGAATTACTATTTTTTCTCACGATACCATTTTTGTTATTTTCGCTTCTGTGAAGCGCTCTGTAGAACCTCTCCACCACCTCCACTATCCTATCTGTATTCGTCAAGACATTGTGTTCCTTGTTTCTTAATGCATACATCCGATTTTTGCCCATGAACTCGTTTGCCTTTGCAGCTTTTAGACTTCTATCACTTTTTACAGCCTGCTCAATTATCTCCATATTATACTTTCTTATGTCACCTACCTTAGGTCTATAGATTAAATTGGAAAGCCCCTATAGCTCTATTTTGTTGACTGCATTTTAGGATTTTATGTTTTGTCGTCTCCTAATAAGATTTTTTCGTTTCCATAGATAGTTTGCCTGCTGTATAGTGTTCGCACCTCCGACTTCCATTGCACCCTCTTTGATGATACTAGTGAGATTATTGTTCATTGTGTCAACGCTAGCGTCATTTACCTCGTTCAGTGCCTCGAATCTATTCTAACGTGAAACTCTGAATTCCTATACTTTCGCTCTCACCGCAAGTTTACAATTGGCCTATTGCGTATCGATTTTTGTCTTTGCTTTTTAAATCTAGGTGAATACGAGCTCTTGCCATTCTGTGGTCGCTGCATTGTATCTTGCCAACTACTTTTTGATTCTTTACTATGCCTTGACGTGCACAGAATAAGCCTATTTCATTTTTAGTTTCGCCATTAGGACTTCGCCACGTTCACTTCCAGTTAGCCCGTTTTCTGAAGAAGGTATTCATGATGGGTAAATTATTACGTTCTTCAAACTCTACTAATAACTCCCCTCTGGAATTTCTACAGTCGATGCCATATTTCCCCACTGCATGGCTTCCGGCCAGCTTCTTGCCTACTTGGTCAATAGGTCGCCCATCATAACTGTGTACTGTGACTTAAATTTATTAATGGCTGATTCTGCGTTTTCATAGAAGCGTTCAACGAAATGTTCATCATGACTCCATGTAAGCGCGTAGGCCTGTACCACCTTCATTTTGTACTTTTTGTTAAACTTAATTATAATTCTTGCCACCCTCTCTCTGATACTATTGTATTCCTCTGTGTTGCCAGCGACACTCTTGTGTATAAGAAACCCCACCCCTAGTTTTTTTTTTCTGTGAACTAATCCACAGTAGCATAGTACGTGTTCTTCAGCACTGTATAAGTCTCACGTGTCCTCCTAACCTCGCTGAGCCCTATTGCATCCCACCGAGCACCCCCTGTTTTCTCGAATAGGACAGCTAGACTAGCCTCACTAGTGTAGCAAAGGTAGCAAAGTTCAGATTCCAATTGCGGCCGGTCCGGACCCAGACATTCTTAGCACCCTCCACTGCGTCGCAGGTCTGACAACCGCCTTGGACAGTTGCTTCACAGCCGCTGGGTACTGAAGCCAAGAGTTAGTTGCTGTAGTCATGGGAGGTAGTGGCCAAGTACTGCACCAAGGTTGCTAGTCCTGCTCTGGTGAGGAAGTGCATTAGTGGTAGATGGTCGTCAGTGAGGCCACACCCAAGACCTCTTATATTTGAGCAATTCTTTTAACATGCCTTTTAAATAAAACGCATAAATGGATTCATTTATGTTAATTGCTTTGATGAAGCTAGTGCTTGCTGCCGCACTGCATGCTTTGAATGTTTGTTCACCCCCTTTAATGTCTGAGGCGCTATACGTTCGGCATAGATGAATATTTATTTTTAAAATATTAAAATAAAAAAATATCTACTCCAGCCTTAGAAACATGCAAATTGTGCAAAGAGTCCATGTTTCAAAGGCCTACTCTTTACGAAGCACTCTGACATATATTATCAGCAGCAGCAACAAAAGAATTCACAAACTGAGCAGCTGTAAGTACGTACTACGTACGCGCAGTGGGCACTTCACGAATTCACCAAAACAATAATTAAGGTTTCTAGCCTCGTACACAATTGAAAATGCCACTATTGATAAGGGTACTACAAACAAATACATTGGAGTTTACTTTTCGGGAAGACTGGGAAGGCGCTTATGACCTTGCGCCATAACGCGAACTTTTGCCATATGAACCGTACAAAGGCTCATGCTTCGGACTACGTGATGCTTTAAGGTTCACCACAAATACCATGAAGACAAACTTTTATTTAAGGCCAGAATGCATTCTACAGGTATTCCCCTGACTTTCGGTGCTGCACTATGATAGGCCTTTAGGAATGTTCACACAGCTTTTTATTAGGTATTCTATGGTGGCGCGCGATGTCTCTGGTCAAATGTGCCATTCCGTTGCATTAGGCTCCTAGCCACACAGGGATGCCAGACATGCTCCACCGATGCGTGCCTCCTCAGCGTTGCTTTGCTCTGCGCGCTCCGCAGACTCGGGTTCAGCCCTTGCTTCGGCCTCTTGGGCACTCGCGCTGGCCGGCATGGCACCGCTTTCTGGAATAATCAAGCAGATGAAGGTGTGAAACCTGAATGCCCTCAGGAATTCATATAATTACTCCGAAAATATTCATATTAGTATTGGTGTAAAAGTGATTGAACGAGATATGTTGCATGCGATTACGTTTTAGCGGGCACCCCACTTCATATATTGTTAGTTTCATCTCGCCTCCTTGTGTCTTAGCGAAAACGCAATAGCTGCGCACCGGAACGGATCGACATAGAATGCAGACATGAGGTGTGTACACATCAATGCACTGAACTGGTCGAGTTGGAGTAAAATGTGAATGTTAACTCTTTTTCAAAATGCGCAGAAACGCGTAATAAAAGATGATGGGTCCAGACGCGCATCATATGGTAGGAATGTTGAGCAATATCTCGTAGGGGCTTTACCATCGAATCAAGAATCGTCATGAACACAGGAAACCTCTCAAGAATGGCACATAATACGCAAACTCTACAAAACGTTCTACAACGAAGTGCAATTGCTTAGGAAGCTTTATTTTTGTTATCACTTGCACATCATTCTAGTGCTAAACCAATTCTCACAAGCCACAGGCAAAATTAAAAAGCCACGGACTGTTCCTGGTTTAAGCTCAGTATTCTGTACTCAAAAGAAAGGCACTCACCAGCCACAATGAGACCAAATATCGTCAGGCCGACAAGGATAAGCTTCAGCTGCATACTTTTTTCTTGGGTTGCCCTGGTTCTGAATAATAAAACGAATCGATTCGGCACATCATTTCAAAGTAACGTCAAGTGCATTAGTCAATTTTTTGTACCAGTAGGTTAGTTTTCCATGCAATAAACCACTGTCTTCCATGAGGAAACCACGAATGATACCGTAGGTACCATACCCTCATTGTTCCCTACTCACTGAGCCAACAGACAGCACGAAACAGCTTCATTGCCTCAGGCGCCTTTATTACCTTAATCCAATGTTGTTGTTTTTTTAGTTACGCAAGACATAATTGTAATGAAGTGTGCTGCTGGTTTTGCTTTACATAATATTTCAACTTGTTACAATAGCCATCCCTGTTTCACCCACGTCGTGATACTCAAATGTTTTCCATGAACGTTCCTGCGATTTTTTCGCCCCCTGCTTTCGTGAGCTTGCACTTCTTATTAGCCTACAGATTGTATCAAGTATCTCGGACATTTTTATTGGTCGGTTTCTTTGTTGTACTCTTGGCCTATCTATCCTCTATGTGCTTTGATAATAATGTTCGCGTTTCTCGTATACTTCTTGGGGCGTTCTTTCCCAATGTAGCAGTTCAGTAGAAGATACTGACTTGAAATGAGAAATGCTTGAACAGAGAGTGCAGCTTTATATTGCACACACACTCTCTCTCTTTTCCTCCTCTACTTCTGCCCCGCCGCGGTGGTCTAGTGGCTAGGGTACTCGGCTGCTGACCTGCAAGTAGCGGCATTGAATACCGGCTTCGGTGGCTCTATTTTCGATAGAGGCCAAAATGCTGTAGGCCCGTGCGCTGAGATTTAGGTGCATGTCAAACAAACCCAGGTGGTCGAAATTTCCCTAGCTCTCCACTATGGCGTCTCTCATATTCATATGGTGGTTTTAGGACGTTAAACTCCACATATACTCTTCCATTTCTGCTGACAGGGGAGAACAAGAATAGTGCGTACAGATAGACACTCCTAAAATTTTTACCCTCCCCTATTCAATATATCTACCTTTTCTTCACTCAATTTCGCGTTTGTAAAAGAACGAGCAAAACATACTTATAACCAATACTGATATCTGGGGTTTAACATCCCAAAAGTGCATCTAGCCAAAGCTAAAAAAGTCAATTACTGCGGTGAAGAAGGCTAAATTTCTTGTGCGTTCGCCTTAGCAGTACATCTGGTATCTTGCATTGGTAGAAAGAAATAAAATAAATAATATGGGAGGGTTCAACGTCTCAAAAGCACGATATGATTATGAGACATGTCGTTGTAGAAGGCTCTGAAAATTTCAAACATCTGGCGTTCTTTGCGATGCAGTTAATTCTATAGAACATGGACTTCAGGCATGCTAGCCTGCATTGTAGATGTGGCCGCCACAGCCAGATATGACCCTATGACCTGCGAGTTAGCAGTCGAGCTACATAACTACTACACTACCGGGGCGGGTTTCATTGCTCTAAAAAAATTCTTGATCTTATGGGAATTCACAACCCCCCTGTAATTCACTTATTGCAACCTCGAAGTCAACGAAGTAACACACATGGCATGCAAACGTCGTTTAGTGAGATAAAAACAGTGTCTTTCCCTTATTTTTTTATAACCAATAAATTGTCATAACTCAACGAAACGCGAATAGAATCACCCTGTGGAATAGCTTCGCGTAGAGCATGCTCTTTAAATATCAAACTAATCTTTCACCATCGTATATCTTTAAGATTTGGGATTTTACCCCGTGAAGCTTCACATTAAATATTGTGCTATTCTTTTATATTGTCTAATATGTCTAAATAATAAATACTTAAAACTTGGCCGTTGTTCTGTTGTACAAAGTACTTTCTAATTCGAAAATAGTCTCCCTTTGGCGTTAACGGAGCAAAAGCACTCAAGTTACGATATAGGTCACAGTTAACATGATGCAAGAGGTCTGTTTATACTTTTAGGCTTCAGCGGGACTACCACCTTCAGCACAATTCTTTAAGAAGTGGCGAACCTTACCTCTCGAAGCACCTCCACCTTAGTTGTTTCCGAACGGCCTTAAATTCTAACTGTTATATGTAGTTGGTTATTGGTATTCTAAACCCGTTCATGTCCCTCCACGTGTCGACTTAAGTAGCGATGACCTTTTTATGGCGACCGCATATTTCTGTAATTATATGATCTGTTCATTAAACTGCATCGCTCCTTGCTGCTTTGCAATCGCATTTATCAAGTTGCTGTGAAAACAGTGTGTAAGAGGAAATTACTGCCACTATTAGTTGACAAGAACGAATTGCTCTCTGACAGCTCTACATCTCATGCACATGACTTGTCAAGGCAACGCTTGATTGACAGTTCAATTTGGTGTCATTGGCATCACGCCATGCTTGAGATATAATTGCTTCAGATGAGGGTCAACCTCACGAGGGAGAGACGCTTCTATTGTCATTCACTCAGGGCTCTGGCAAACAATATTCGTCTGCATTATTGGTACAGATAACTAGTATGACGACCTTGAATTACCACCAATAATGTGGCACGTTTGTCTCGTATTGCATAAAAGACGAGCCAATCAGGCCGGCTCAAAGCAATCACGCAAGTGACCCTGAAACATATTCCCCCTATGAAGGCATCATTTCTTTCGTTCACAACATGTTTGCACAGCGCAAGAAAAATAGTGGCTACAGCGTTAATTACGGAGGAAGGAAACATGAATAGGAAAGGCGCTTTTTTTGTTCATGTTCTTCCTTCCGTAGTTATGACTCATTTTCTTACGCTTTGAAAACATGTTGATTCCAAATTGCCGTTTAGCCTAACCATTCACTTCGTCGTTCATTCACAGATGCGTGAATGGCAGCTCTTTATTTATGTTCAAGTCATACTTGGCCGGTTATGTGTGATGCTGTAAGCTTAGCCTGTTCTCTTTTTGTTGTTGAACGTCTATCGCTCCACATTGTACCTAAAGAGCTATGGTTGCTAGTACAACTTCACGTTGTGACTTTTCTAACGGTAAATTCTTTACAAAAAAAACAAATGTGACGTACATCATAAGCAGAAATTCATAAAAGGTACCAGGTAGACCACGAAAGAAGCTAGACACGATTGAAAAATTCGCAAGCACGGTGTGTCACTGAACCCAACGTTCCGACGCACAGTTTTAGCTTGTCTCAGTCCATCGTCTCTTATCTTGTGTAGTATTGCTTGCTAATATTCTGCCTAGAAAAAGAAAACTAGCTCTTAAGCCTACAGTTCCTTGCTACATTGCACGTGTATTTTAAATGCGAAGCATTTCTTAGCGAAATTCGGCGACATCGTGCGTATCTATCTATCCATCTATCTATCTATCTATCTATCTATCTATCTATCTATCTATCTATCTATCTATCTATCTATCTATCTATCTATCTATCTATCTATCTATCTATCTATCTATCTATCTATCTATCTATCTATCTATCTGCCGGACTGTCTGTCTGTCTCTCTGTCTGTCTGCCTATCTATCTATCTATCTATCTATCTATCTATTCTATCTATCTATCTATCTATCTATCTATCTATCTATCTATCTATCTATTTCTTTTCTACGACATTTAGCCCTCTTGGCCATCTCGGCCCCACCGCAGTGGTCTAGTGACTAAGGTACTTGGCTGCTGACCTGCAGTTCGCGGGATCAGTTCCCGGCTATGGCGGCTGCATTTTCGATGGAGGCAGAAATTTTGTAGGCCCGTGTGCTCGGATTTGGGTGCATGTTAAAAAACCGCCGGTAGTCGAAATTTCCGGAGCTCTCCACTACGGCGTCTCTCATAATCATATGGTGGTTTTAGGGCGTTAAACCCCATATATCAATCAATCAATCGGGACCGTCTCGAGAATGGTATCGATACCAAAATTCGTATGGCATAACATAACTGTATGTCGAGCCTGATTAAATGACTAGTCATAACAGGAAAATCATGACGTGTATGCCACAAATGTTATCATTTACATTTCATGATCTTGCTGCTCTTGCTGTGGTTTTGTTCGCATGACATTTTGCAAAATTGATGTGGTATGGCATGACTGAATAACGAACATAAATGACATACCTTAACATGGAAATTATGACATGCACGTCATGATTTTCATGTCATGCCTACTCATGACTACACGCCACGCTCATGGTGTGCTCAAGGTCTTTTCACTAGCTTCACATACACCACATTTGGTAGTATCGGACGTGAATGGATGATGAAGGTATGTATGTGTAGAAAACATGATAATCATGACATGAATGTCATGTAAGAACATGGTAGCATACCACGCTCAAGATGCGCTCGTGGAAATTTCGCTAGCTCCACATACATCAAATTTGGTATCACGTGACGTGAATAGACGACGAAGCTAAATGACACACGGAAACAAGGTAGTCACAGTAGAGGTGTCATGTAAAACATGACTACATGCTAGGCTCATAGCGTGCTTGCGGCCGTTTCGCTAATATTATATGTGGGGTGTAACGTCCCGAAGCCGCCATATGATTATGAGAGACGCCGTAGTGGAGGACTCCGGAAATTTCGATTTTGGGGTTCTTTAACGTGCACCCAAATCTGAGCACACGGGCCTACAACATTTCAGGCTCCATCGTAAATGCAGCCGCTGCCGCTGGGACTCGAACCCGCGACTTGCGGGTCAGCAGCCGAGTACCTTAGCCACTAGACCACCACGGTGGGGCGCCGTTTCGCTAGCTTCACATATACCAAATCTGATATTACGTGACGTGAGAGGACGACGAACAAAAATGCCAGGCGCAAACATGATAACCACGAAATGGACGCCATGTATGGTATAATTAATGTCCACCACGTGACGTTGTGCTGATTTTAAAGTGACGAATCAACCTTCCTTATTCGGGCTTCCAATAATGTCGATTCCCATTATACGTGGGATCTGCCATTTTTTTATGCTTCGTATCTTGCGCTCCATGCAAAAGGAAGAGGAGGAAAAGGCAAGTGCGTGAACGGTGGTGGGGTGGTAAAGAAGGCGGGACTAGCCTGTCCAATCAGATGAGCAATAAAAAAGGCAGTTAAATTAAAACATGCAGGTCCCACTTAATCTGCAAATCCGTTTCATGCGAAGCAGTCAGCGAGTGGCTGTCTATGCAACTTTTTTTTTTCTTTTTTCTTTCGGGGGGGGGGGACTGTACCTTTAGTCACGCGTTTCGAGGTGTGCTCATAGTGCTTTTACGATGGGGATGGACATTTTTCTTTGAATATAGAGTATTTCAGCGAGTATCGTGCTTTAACAAGCACGCCGACTACGCTGATGTTTAAAGGGTAAATTACGGTCTGCCGTAAAGTCAGAACTCGCTTTAGAGCACAGACGTCACATTTAATGAAACGCAGCGTGCACCACGGGACAATTCACATTTCACACACCATGCAGCATTCGTAACCACATTCTTTCTGGGTCAATCAACACTTGATTACAAATTGCCGAGTCATAAGAGTACATGTGTGAGGTTTATTCTACTGTTATAAAGTACTAAAGAACCAAGGTTGATGTTAAGCTGACATGACGTCTGGATCATTGGAATACATACGCATTGTTTTGTAATGTTGGTTACTTTGCTATGAATTTAGGTGAAGAGCACTGCTCTCACAGTTACCGTTGCACGCACATGACTCTTTCACAAAAGGTGTTTATTCAAAAACAGTTGCAGTACATGTTGCTTCTCTAGTAGAGAGCGTGACTGACAATGGAATGCCTGGGTTTAATTTCTGCCGGGATCCTCATTTGTGTTTTATCATTAGTCGATTCAAAGCATTCACGCGCATAGACGCTCTCCCGTTTAAATTATCAATGTCTGTTTTAACTGTTTCTGGCTACATATTCACTTCGTATAACCTACCTCACAGACCCGCATTCTGTGAAACGAGGTTCGTAGATACGTGCACCAATTGACAGGAGGAAAGAGTTTATCGGCGTGCACGGCAGTCTTTTCTCGTCATTGATGTCATGACTTTAGAGTGCTGTTCGAAATATCTTAATGTACTCCTCTGGAAATGTTGGTAAATATCAAGTTCACGAAGCTACCATGATTGCGTCTTGAGGAGGGTGGCTTGATTGATAGATAGATCGATCCATCGATCGATCGATAGATAGATAGATAGATAGATAGACAGAAAGACAGACAGACAGACAAACAGACAGACAGACAGACAGACAGACAGACAGACAGACAGATAGATAGATAGATAGATAGATAGATAGATAGATAGATAGATAGATAAATAGATAGATAGATAGATAGATAGATAGATAGATAGATAGATAGATAGATAGATAGATAGATAGATAGATAGATAGATAGATAGATAGATAGATAGATAGATACTTTGTTGTTCCTGCGTTTGTTCACTTGTATGCAAAAACTTTCCAGGTATCATCCAAGTAGTTTAGTACGGATACAAGCCATTAGATTTTATAAAATGATATTTTAAACATACGTCCATCCGATTGAAAAATTGATGCAGGTCCTTATAATGTATAATATGACCGGAAGACGATAGCCAACTTCTTTTGCTTCTAAATCTATAATATTCATACCGTGCCATTGATTTCCGCCTCAACGTCGATTGCTAAAATATCTAGCAGGTTTGGCGACTGAAGCGCAGTTTCAGGACAACAAATAGGCACGCGTGGTAATCCGGTGTTTTGGTTCAAATGCTACAAGTTGAAAAAAACTGCTGTTCGTTAAAAATTAAGCTGGGTTGTCAAGATCAGAGGGGTCGGCCGTACATAACTTTCCCATATGCATTTTACTTAGCATAAGTTTGATGCCTAATATAGTACTTTACAGCCCTTAATATTTTTGGTGTGAGTAAATACCACCTGCGTGAATCGATCAGACTAGTTTGATGGAAGTGTGTACCACATCAGTCAATTTCTTATGGTATATAAATTGTTGGCAGTACGTCTGTCAAGACTTTACAAGTATCCTCGTTGACAATCTTTCGTTAGTATACTTTTACACTCGTTCTAGAAACCACTGGTATGAACGCTGCTTCTAGCAGTGTTGATACAGACATTGTGTTATTGCATAGTGTAACACGTGCAAGAAGAGCACTACGTCAAAGGCACTGTACCTT